TTTCAACTCTTGATAGCTCTAGTCATGGCTGTCCCAGCTTGTGCCGGTCGCCTTGAGGAAGGATGAGGGCTGTATTAGGTAGGCTGCAAACATTAAACTTTGTTCCATCTTTTATTTTTATGCATCTTGATGATGATTTGAATAGCTATACATGAAGATTGGTAATTTGACCTACTTGAGCGATAGAAGCCAAATAACACAAATTATACATTTTTTTTTGGGTTAGAATATGATCGGTGTATTTTTTATTAAAATTTTGCATCGGGATTCATAACTGGAACAAGCGGAGGCATTTTAATAATTTAGTATTATTATAAGAGTTTTCTAAGCTAAAAGACATAAATACTTCGACTAGTCTCAAATTCCAAACCCTAAATATTTTTAGCATTGAGAAACCCTAAAAAATGGTGGACCTTATTATCATCTTATGTGAACATTTCTTAGCTGTACGTTTTAGGAACTCTACTAAGTCTGGCTGAATGACAGATTAACTTAAAGCACCACTAAATACTAAAGGTAAGACAAAACAAGAATAAAAGAAAACTATAAAAGCCAAAATTAAGCCTTGAATAATGAACATAGAGAAAAGGGAACATAGTGCACCCTGTCGTTTTCTTATCTGTCTAAATCTAATTATAAACATTTTTTTTGCATGATTTTTCACCTCAGGATTCACATGTTTTTCCTATTTTATTGCATTCATATTCTATTTGCATTGGCTATATCGGAAATTATTTATTGGGAAGGGTTTTCTTTTGTTTTGATAGTAATCATGTCCAGCTAACTGAAAGTATAACCCTTAATAGATAAAAGTGACAGTTCAAGATTCGTATAGCCGATCTGAATTAATTAAAAAAAACTATTATGATGATGAATAATCACACCCACCTTACCCCTCTATGCAAAGAGTGAACAGTACCCTATTATTTGATTATTATTGATTTTTATAAAACATAATTTTTTTTTTTTTTGGGGATAATTGTTATGATAGGTTGAGGGATGCTTTTCCAACACCCCCACCACCTTAAAACGTGCTTCTGTCTCCCCCCGTCTCTCAATTTACTCGATTCTCTTTTAACTGTAAACCAAGATAGATTAAAATTTCAAGAACATGATGTTTGAAAAATTGAGAATTGTCGGGAACTCAGTTCCGATTTGCTTGGTCCAGACAATTCTTAAGTCCGATTTAGCCATGTTTGAAAAAAAAATTATTAAAAGAAAAAAAATACTACAGAACCGAGAGATTTCAAAGCTTCTCAAACTTTAAATCTGCTAATATTAAATCCACTCAAATGATTCTGAATCAGCTCTAAACCTTCTAAAACACTCCATTCGTTGTAGTGAAATTAGGTTTGTTCAGTACAAGTGCGCCTTAATAGTTCTTGCCTCTCTTTATCTCTCTACACTGACAAATAGAGATATGGAAGAGAGAGAAGTCTAAAGAGAGAGAGAGGAGAGGGTGGGGGAATGAGCTTGGAAAACGCTGACCGCACTTAAATTAGTTTTTTTTTTTATTCTTTTGATATTCCATTTATATGAATATTGATTTTGTAAAAAGAGAGAGAGGAGAGAGATGAAAAGCGAGAATAGAGATGAAGAGAGAGAAATAGAGAAGAGGTCTTGGAAACATTCACGCACTGAGAAATGCGCGCATTCAAAGGGCAGGCGCCTAACCCCACGTGCCAAACGCCCCACCCACGCCGGCACCGCTTCTTCACTTCATTTGCTCTCACGTGTGACCCCGGAACCAAGGGCGTTGTTTATGACAAAAATGCCCTCGGAAACTTAAATTTTCTTTTTTTTCCAACTAAAGAGACTTCTTGTATAAATGGGAGAGCTTTCTATACTTTAGAATAAATGTGCTTTCTTTACTATCTAGCCGTTCAATTTTGATCAAGAGTTATTTATCGTTTGACCTTAGATCCAATGTTTTAAAGTATTTTATTTTTAGATTTTTTTAAACAAATTATATGAATGTGAAATTTGATACGTGCTATCTTCTCATTGAGATGTACCTATACAAAATATTAAAAATAATTTTTTGATAAAATATAATGACTAAAATAGCATTTGAAACTTTCAAAGGTATTTTGGTCATTTTATTTTATTGGAAATACTTTTTTTTATTTTTCGCTAATGGGAGTTTAATAGAAGATTGGAAGTCCAAAATTTGGTATAAAAATAGTTTATAGAAAAAAAATAAAATAAAAATAGTGTAGAGACGTGACATTGTGATTAGGGCAATCTTAGCTCTCTATTCAGAGTGGATGGTTGGATAAGGGGAAGTATATAAATTTTTTTTGTTGTAGAGGAAGCATAGAAAGCTTGGCCTATATAAATGCCTCCACAAATTTCTTGGTACAGAGGTTGGAGCACCTCCACTAATAAAATGATAAAAATACCATTGTGTGAATTCTAAAGCTTTTTCTGAAAAAAAAAAAAAGAAAAAGAAAAAAAAGAATTGGTGGGTCTCCTTGATCTCAACTTCCAATGGCTAGGTCCGACCCCGGCAATTTCAAGTATAACTCTCAAAAAAAAAAAAATCGAACCAAATTAGAAAATTGAGACCAACAATTTTGAGGTTTAAAGATACAATCGAAGCCTATATTTCATTTTGACTTTGGCAATTCCCAAATCATAGATGCGATTTTCAATCTTTGGTTTTATGAACCCTAAGGCGAATCAAGAGGAAGATCGAAAGAGATATAGTGGCATATAGTCTGATTGAAGATATGATTCTCGATAAAGCGGAGTAATAGGACAAGATTCATACGTAACCCTAAATAGTTAGAATAAAGTTAAAATGATGATAATGATAACGACAATAGTGGGTTTGATTTGTACTTTTCTTTCATTACCCGGGTCGTTAGAGCCAAAATTTCAGTTCGAGAACCGGTCGGGATATTTTGGTCACTTTTGACAGGGATTAGGGGCATATCGGTCATGTTAAACGTTTTAACGTTTTACGGTTGTTTTTTTGTTGCCGCCACGATTTTGTCGGTTTAAGTTAATGGATATTATTATCGTACATCAAAGGTACGAGACGGGACCCACGGATGGGCATATCTTTTGTGGGGCCCACGGTGACGTGGCACGTCACGAAATCTTCATTCCAAGCAACGACCAACATCTACATGAAACAAAGATAAAAAAGGTCATGAAAGGTAAATGACGAAAACAGCCCGGCGATTTCCAGGAAATGACAGTGTCATCCTCAACATACTCAAAAATGCCTTGGACGCCCAAGTAATAAAAGAAAAGGAGGTAGGATCCGATATTTTTGTGAACACCCTTTTTTTTTTTTTGAATATTAAGCTCCCTTTGATTCGTTGATTGATAGGTAATCTTGACGTGCAAACTTACATTAATCTAAATTTAATTGGTGAAATTAATAAAGGAGTAATCGAGATTCGTTTTATTTGGCTATATATATTTTGCTCAAGTGAAGACAAAGTTACCCCTCATTCCAATGAGATTTTTTTTAATGAGATTGAAAAATAGAAAGAAAATATGAAATGGGTTGAGAAATTACGTAGAAGGTCGGTCGCCCTGTGTTTTTTTTTAATTTTATAAATTACTTTTTGGTCCAAAGATGTTATTTTCAGACTATTTTTAATTTTATAAATTTTTTTTTTAGTTTTTTCATTAGTAAGCAACGCTCTAGCGTGAGTAATACCCCATCAGACTGCCTTATTTGTTAGCAAACAAATGAGCTAATGCGGTTTGAAGATTGGAGCCTCATACTTTCCTCAAGAACACTAGGGAAGGTGGTTTGGGAATGGGCAGTTCGGACAGCCTCTAATTGCTTAACAAAGTCAATCTTTTTATTCCAAAGATACCAATTTCGGATTGCTTTGAAGATTGCATTGGACGGCGGTTCGATGATGCTAATATAGGACTGATTGGACACTAGCCCAAATATTAGGGCACAACCCTACTATAAAAAAATTTTTTTTTTTTTTGGAGGGTGAGGTTTGTATAGAGCCGAAGCTCCAAACCATCAAAGTGATGCGCACCTTCAAATAGTATCAAAAAATGTCGTTGAAATTTTTGTGATATCTTTAAAATATATTTTCGTTTTTAATTGTAAAATTTAAATTTTAAAAAATAGTGTAGATCGAGTAAATCTATAAAAACTTGAAAATCTTAAAAATTAACGGTCCAACAAGAATACATTACAAAATGTACTATTTTCAAAACTTAAAATCTATTTTTTTCTCATATCTACAAAGAGATGTTGAATTTGAAAATATTTGAGCATCGAAACCACCTCATCTAATGAAATATATACCAGCTCATCTAATGAAATTTATGAGGTGCGCTCTAATTTGATCCTTTAGAGCCTCGGCTTCGTATAAACTTTTTTCTAATTAGATTGCGGCAAGAGAATACCAAAGGGCAATTTTGAAAAAAAAAAAAAACGTCAGGTTGATGAACGTGTCCTGGGTAATTGAAACTCTTAAGATATGAAATGAGTCAAATCTTGCGTGTCCGTACCTAATTCACTGGTAAAATTCTTCCTAATTAGGGTTTTATCCGAATAGTATTGCGGTGGAAGGATAATCATCTGCAATGCCGAAATTATCTACTTTTTCAGTTTCCCCACCAAAAACTGTTTATACGTGTTATGTAGAGAGAGACGATAAGTAAAATAAAATGGACGTGCGTAATGCGTGGGAGAGAGAGAGAGAAATAAAGAATTGATGAGAGAGAAAATAAGACCATGCTGATGCCTGCATTTGCAGCACCAAACATGCTCAGAAAATATTCCACTGCTCCGCTCTTTATTATTAATATCACGAGAGAGAGAGAGATTCAAAAACAAAGACACGCAGATGAAATGAGCTCGAGTGCAGGGTTCTGGTCGGTACCTCGATGGTCCGAGTTATTATTTGGATTTATTATTATTATCACGAGACCTAGAGAGAGAGAGAGAGAAGGAATCGTGAACGTCAGTATAATGGTAAATGGGCAACACAGAAGAACCATGTTGATGCGGTAAAACCTGTTTTCTCTCTCTACTTTTATTATTATCACGACAAATAAACCTGTACACTGGCCTTCTTCACGCTGTTACATATTGGGCAGGCCTGTAGCCTCGCGTCACACGCGCTGCACACACACAGGTGCCTGCATGGCAGAACCAGCACACTTGCCCCCTCCGCCCCACACCCCCTACACCCTCTCTCTCTCTCCTCCCCTCCCCCCTCCACTCTCTCTCTAACTTTCTCACTCTTACAAGACGACTCTGCGTCTCCAGCGCAAGACCCACTGTCGCCATATCCCTCCTCCTCCGCCTGGGCCAAGACCTGCTCCAAATTGCACCTCAGAGCGTTTGCTGTTGCCTCGTTCGTCTTTGCCAGGTTCTGCCAGATTTGAGTCTCCACGCAGAGGCTCTTCACTCTCGCTTCTAACACCCCATTCAGCTTCCCAATCTTCTCGATCTCTGCTTCCTTCGCTTTCAGCCTCTTCGCCATGTTCTCCTCCACCGCTACGAACAGACGCCTCGCGTGCCGCCGCCTCTTCTCCTCCAGCTCCATTCGCACTTTCTCTGTCTGCAAAATTAGATTGGTCATTTTAGTTTCTAGAGAGAGAGAGAGAACTTTTTTCCTCAAAAGACGAAGGAAATCCGACTCTCTCTCTATATTTTTGAAAGAGGGAGAGGGAGGGAAACGCTTCAGTGATAAAAGGCAAAAGAGATATTTTGTCAAAAAATAGATGGACAAATGGTGGAATTTACTTAATTATAAACCCCCCCCCCCCCCCCTTCTCTACACCGAAAATGCGATAAAAATATTTTGACTTCTTTGAAGTAGGGACAAAAGTGTCATTTCCATAAACAGGGCCCATTCTCGATATTGTTGAGAGAAGCAAGGGCACTTTGGGGGAACACGACAAATTTCGAGGGTGGGCCCTCTGAGTTGCGGGTTCACCATCATTTCCCCAAAAATCGGGCGTGCCTGATACCTCATAAATGACAATAGGCCACCAATATTTTTCCATAAATACCTGAAGTGCCATCACTCACCATTCCCCAAAATGACCATCGTACCCAAAATATCTAAAAATATCCGAATCACCCCCAATTACACTTTCTCAAAAATTCACAAATTCCATTAATGCCCTGACTCACTCTTTCTTTAAATGACCTTGTGTACCCAGAATTATTCGTAAATATCTCAGAAATGCCCCCACACCATCCCAAGAAATTGCCATTGTGCCCAATATTTATCCTAGATATCTGAAATATCCTCACTCACCATTTTATAAAAATGACACACGTAACCTGGATTTTTTTTTTTTTGTACATATCTCAAATACCCTTTGCTCACAAATCCCATCTATTTAATGATGCAAGCAACAAGAACCCAGTGCACCCAGACTGCGTATGACTGACTACTTGTGATATGGAGGTGTGCCCGGCGCACCGGGACTACTTATGATCTGGACGTATGCCCGGCACACCAGGATTGCTTGACGTATGCCAGGCGCACCCGGACCCAGAGCTCATGACCCATATTGAGGACCTGAAATAGTTGCGAAAAGACTATGATGATAATGACTATTTTACCTATCTCTAATTACACTACAATCCAATGAACTATAGGAAAATGCCAAATTCCATTGATCCACCACTTCCATTGAAACAGCCAATCGATAGAGAAAGAGGAAGAATCACATATTTGAGTAATTCTAAAACTGTAGAGAGAGAGAGAGACCACAAACTAACTAATCATCAAGACTCTTTTGTAACTTTTGAAGTTTCAATCATAGGAAAAAAACAAAGGAAAATGTTGAATAATGAATAAAGGTAGGGGGGGGGGGGGGGGGGGGCCAGACATATACCAGGCCAAAAGCAATTAATGGGCCGTTCGGGCATTTCAAGAAAAGAATCGGTTTAAAAAAAACACATTTAAAAATAAATAAATAAATAATGATAAAATTGCTTACATGCAAGGCTATGAAGTGATCGATCTCTTGCTGTTGCTGAACAAGATGGAAAGCAAGTTCTTCGCCGAAAAAAGAAAGGAACCCGGCGGAAAAACCATAGTGGGCCGGAATCACGTGCCTTTCCGGCCACTGTGTGCAACAGGGCTCGCGGCCCCTCTTTCGCGCCCTAGAAAAATTGCCACAGGTTAAGCCACTCTCTGGTTCACTGATCACTGCTCCGTTCATGGCCGGAATCATCTCTATTTCAATGGAAAAGAACTCGAATCAGGCCGGAAAATGATTTGAAATGGAAAGATTTGAGATCGGTTATTATTCTTTCGAAGTTTTAGAGATGGGTTTTTAGCCACTTTAGAGAGGGAGACTTTTTTTTACCTGAATTGTAGTAGGGGAAGAGATTTGCAGCGATGGGGTTGACTTGATAAGCTTCATTTAGAGAGAGGGGGATGCCAAAACCGGGGTTGATATTGTTGTTGTTCTCCATCGAAATCTTCTCTCTAGATATAGAAATGAAAATCCCAACTATCAGAAAAACAAAATATCCATGCTTTTTAGAGAGAGAGAGAGAGAGAGCGCAACGCTGCGAGTTGGCTTTCATGGGTGAAAGAGAAAGCAGCGTGGATTACAGGGGGGAGGAAGAGTTATGAGAGAGAGTGATTCATCATTGAATCAAACTGTTACAGAAGAACAGAAAGAGATAGAAAATGGATTCACATCATATAAAGGAGACGAGAGAGAGAATGAGATGAAGAGAGATGGTGAACCAACTCAGTTAGGAGAGAGAAAGAGAGCCATACTTATTTGCAAGATCTGCCATGAAAGGGTGGTGCGCTTGAACGGCCATTTCTTAGTGTTTTGTCACAGAGGTAGAGCAAGAGAGAGAAAGAGAGAATAAATATGGTGAGAATGAGGAAGAGTTAGAGAGAGAGAGAGAGAGAGGTTTTATCTAGGGTTTGGTAGCCATGGAAAAATTGGGAGATGGGTTGGTTGGCTTCCAAGTTTTTTTTTTTTACATGAAATAATCAGGCAGTTGGTATGAATGAGGAGAAAGAAATACAGAGTTAGAGAGAGAAAGAAGAGAGAGAGTGCAGTGAACCTACACGGTTATAGAGAGAGAGGAAGGGGTCCCCTGTCCTTTTACCCCAAAATTTATGCCACCATACCCCTACAAAATCCGACAATCCCATCTACGTCCCCTTTTAATGGCCACGAGTAAAATTAACCCACCCCTCGGTCAAAAACCGATAGCTTCTAAATTTCGCCGAAATTTGAGGCCACAATTGGGTGGTGAGTCTAACCTCTCCCGAAACCTACTGAAATTTTGTAGAAAATCCCACGAAATCAGACGAAATATGGGGATTACACAAACCGATATCCTTATTGTAGTAACATTCCCAATTAAGCTTAATGGATGAAGATTATGTAATATCTTTGCTCCACTGGCTCCACAATTCGAAGCAATTGACCATTATTACTCTCTCCCTCTCTCTAAAATTCTTACCGACCTAGTATAAGTAAAAAAGAGTAGAGAGAAAGAGACTATAATTTATAGCCACCTAGTAGTATATCTAATGAATCAAGAGAGAGACTATAATTTATATACCTAGATATGTAATGCATTAGAGAGAGAGAGAGTGAAAATTCTACCACATTAAACTACTTAACATTGGGGTGCTTATAATGACTATCCACCTAGTGAGAGAGAGAAGTGGTAGGTGAACTTCTAGATAGGGAAAGAGAAAAATAGAAAAAAATATTGTGTCAATTTTATAGGTATGGTTTGCATAAGGTGTCAACCTAAATAGTTAAGGCGTATCTTTGAATTGTGCCAAAACATGCAGTTCTAGTGCGAAAACTCTTTAAATGATCGAAAAATCTATTTATGCCTCGAATCATAAATTAAAGCTCTAAAAATAGTTCGGATCGATGAAGTGGATGGAAAGTGCCTTGCACTCGATCTTTAAATTGTGCCAAAAGATGTAGTTCTAGTGCGAAAACTCTTTAAATGATCAAAAAATCTATTTTTGCCTCGAATCATAAATTAAAGCTCTAAAAATAGTTCGGATCGGTGAAATGGATGCAAAGTGCCTTGCACTCGATCCAACAACAGGCCTCTACCCTTAATGTAATGAGATATTGATTAAACAATAATACCTCATTATTTGAAAATACATTGTTCCAATGAAATGTTACAAGATGTACTATTTTTAAAGCTTGTAATGAATTTTTCTTTTATATTTATACATCTTGAAGTCAGGATGTTCATTTAAAATCACATTTGGTATATACGTATTTTTTAATACATTTTATTTTTATACTATAAAGTTATACTTTATAGTAACTTTCAGGATGTTCAATTAGAATCACATTTGGTATATACCTATCTTTTAATACACCTTATTTTTTTAGTATAAAGTTATACTTTATATTAACTTTTTTCCAATTTTATTGAAGAAAAAAAATAAGTAAATAAACTGAAGTAGGATTAACAGTTTAAACCCAAGATATTAATATGGAATACGGAGGAAAGGACCTAAAAGGCAATCCCAGTATTCAGAAGGGCTTTTTAGTCAATTAACTCCACCCCACCCCAAATCCGAAACTGACACGAGGTAGAGCGCCGCTTCAAACGCCACGTGTTTGGCCACGTAGCTACTGACTCTTCCTGACACGTTGGCCACGCCGCAGGTGGAACACTTTCCCCACACACGGCCGTTCCGACTCGGATGGGGATGCTTCCAAAACCGAGCCGAATTTCAAAATCAGCATTTTCTCAGAGTGAAGTCGAATGCGGACAAGTGGGGTGACTCGGATTGTGACTCTACAGAGTCGTAATGTATGAATCGGTGTGGCAAGTTTTGAGAATGTGGCTCTGGCTTCTTGACATCCAGCTGGCATTGACACCTGGATTCACACGTGCAGAGTGTCAGGTGGGGCCGTCTCCGTGTCACGGAAGAGGACAGGGACTGCTTGACACGTGTCGTGAGTTGTCACGTATTTTTCATTTTTCACCGCCTCGCTTTCCCTTATTCTGTTTTGTAGCGCACAAGTTCCCCCCCCTCCGCTATTTCTCCTTTGTCTGTCTTCTTTCTCTTGGTTCTTTTTTTTTTTTTTTTTTTTTTGTTTTCCTCTCTCAATCTCTTCACATAATATTTTGGCCTCTCCAATCACTCTCGGAAGATATTACATTTTTTTTAATCTATCTAAGATCATGTCGACTAATAGAATAGTATAAGCTCAACAGTTCAGATTGAATCTGGACCGATTTAACGATTACGTCTGTGTTTTATATTTAAATTTTAATCTTTTTTCTATAAATTTAAATCTTATTAAATTTAGACATCCACTAAAAAAAGTCATTTGTTAATAGCCTCCTTTTCTTCTAACGTCTAAATATAGTAGCACATAGTCTAACTAAAAATATGTTTTTTTTTTTTTGATAATTCAGTGGGGAAGACAAGATCCGACCTTGAATAAAAGAGATGGAAAAACTTGATTCACAGAAACGACCCTAAATAAATTATACTAAAGATAAAAAGATAATGATGATGACGATGATGCTATATTGGCTTACACACTAATAATAGACTAATACACTCCCCAACTTCTCTCTCTATCTCTAAGTTTGAATTGCTTAAAAATAAATGTTGGTTTTGCCAAACATGGTGGCCGGTTGGGTTTACCCACTTCTATTTTTCTTGAAAGCAATAATATTCTTGGATTATTGAGGAATCCGAATGCCAAAAACAAGACTTGGGGCACCGTTCAAAGTCTTGACATTCTCCTATTTGTCTTTTTTATTTCCGCATTAATCTATTTTGGCTTTTCTATTTTTTATTAAAAAAATAGGGGTGGGGCTCAAATGACGAAGGAGCCCTTGACTATTTGTGCTTGGAAGTTAACATAAAGCGACATTTTTGAGGCTATTCTCGTGATTTTAGTGTGGGGGTTTATTTTCTTTGGCTTTTATTAAATTATGTTTTGACCTTAATTGCTTAGGATTTAGGGAATCAAGGCAAGTCGTGCCATGAAAAAGCGAGAAAAAAAAAAAGAAAAAAAGAAAAAAAAGGAAAAAGAAAAGCTTCTTTAAAGAAATAGCATTGAATGGAATTTTGGTTAGACCCACTTGTTTTCGTGATACGTTCCCACTCCTTTGCTTTGGAATGAAGATGAGAGAGAAACAAATGAAAAAGAGAGAGAAACAAGAGAGAAGAAAAGAAAAGAAAAAGTAGTTTGCAATACAGATTCCTTATTTCCACCGCCTATCTTGTTATGTTATTCTTATTGTTACTCCCATCAAACCAACCGCATCCATTTCCCTCCATTTTTTACTTTATATCCACCCCACCCCTCTAGGGCGGCAATGGACCCGACTAGACCTGAGTCCCGATGAGTAGACCCAATCTCTGGCCCAAATATGGGTCTAAATTTTGGATTCGAAAAATCAAATCCAAATCCAAAACCTGGAACCAAAAACTATTCTGATTCAGGTCTCGATCCAGTCGGACCCCACTTGTTACCACCCCTACACCCCTCCATCACTCGAGAAAATCCCTTCCAAGATTCTCTCTCACACACACCCCACACAATATTCTTCCAAGTCCTCTCTTTCCACCATTCTAAAACTCTCTCTCTCTCTCTCAATAATGGAACGCATGGATAAAGCTCTTGAAAAACTGAACATACATGCATGCATGTGCATGAGAAATATCTTCTCAGCAGACATAGATCATGCGCATATCAAGTACACACAAACGTACATATAGTGCTTTTGTAAAGAAGTTCAATGAATTCTTTGGCTTAGACATAAATAAACAATAAAAATTAGAAAGAATATTTTAGCTTTGTTTTCACTTTTCATTTATTTGCCACAAAAGCTGTTGAATTGACGGTTGAGATCCAATTGGGTACAATGATAGAGTTGTGTAATCCGTATGTTGCTGTGTGGATGATATGGGAATCTCATGTGTTCATTGAATCATTTATAAAACTTTTTCTAACTTTTTTTTTTTTCTTTTCCTTTTATTTTCCTTTCTGTTTGGTGGGTGGGGTGGGCAAAATCAAAGGACATTGACTTAAATGTGCTGTTTCACTCTCTATTCTTTTCTCAATTCAAACCTAAAGCTTGTGGTCATGTCTTCTTTTTCCTTTTCCTTTTTTCCATCCCATTTACAAAGAATCATCTCTCTCTCTCCCTCTATCTACTTTTCTTTGTGGCCATGATGGAAACGTCACACCTCTGCTGAGAATATCTCAACCGCCCATCTCGGCTTTATAACACATTGTTGAGATTCAAAGTTTGTTACATTTCAGCACTGGAAAAAGTTAGGTGTGACATGTAAGCATGAGTGCTAATCTCTCTCTCTTTTTGGCTGGTAAAATGGATTCGAACTTTAGACCAAAGTCTTGCTGACTTTATGCTCCAACCACTAAGCCATGAGGCCAACATTGTGGTCTCTTTATCTCTCTCTATATCTCGCTCTACAATGTGGGATTGGATTCCTGACCAGTCTAAGCACCAAGTGTTTGAACCATGCGATGGATGATGCCGAGGTCTGAAATTTTGCACACCAGTCACAGCCAAGTGGGAAAACCAATATTTCAGAAAGCGACGCTCCTCCAGACAAAAGTAATTAAGAAAAAGAATCCAATAAAGGAAGAACCTTTGGATCTTTTCCGAAATTTAGTCTGAGTTTCCATAAATGGCGGATTCAGTCTAATCCATAGATGACATCTTGAGCAGTACAGACCAACACTTGGTCGAATTTTTCCAAAATTAGCTCATTCACAGTAATAAATGGACAAAATCTCATGCAAAATGGACCAAGATTTGGCCTTTAGCACAGGACAAAATTCAGTAGCTTGCGGACAAATTCAGGAAAAAATCTAAGCTGAAAAATGTTAAGGATTTTACATGCATGTGTTAACAGATGGTTGTATTTGTTAACAGATGGTTGCATATGTTATTATTAGATGTTATCGTTTAGTCATTAGTTGAGAGTTCATTGTATGTGGCCAAGTTTTTTATCTTATATTTGTTAGTTGAAATGAGCCAAACCCCAGTCAAATTTTTGTCATCCGCGTGGTCGA